ATGAGTACTGTCTTGTGGGTCAAGCTCGGCAGTAAGGGCAGCCGCAGAGTCCCTTGTGAAAAAAGGGTGCTATTTTAGGGTCCCCTATTTTCGGAAACCCCCAGAATGAATCCACGTGAATCCGAGCAGCTGCCAACCCGCCTGGAATCCAGGGCCACATTCCGCTGGAGCCGGGCTGGTCGCAATCCTACTCCCGAGCCGGACTCCGCTTCTTTCAATTCGGAGAGGCCTGGGCTAAGAGTCGAACAGAAGAGGTTTCGCGAGTTCGACGGGATTGTGCTTAAGGCTTGGATTTCACCTTCTCCTTTCCGCGCCAGACGATGTATTATCTTCTTATCTCGATGTACCTGACCAGTCTCCTCAACAGTGCATGCAAAGGCTTGAATGAGACCAAACTATTCAGCTTATTGCGGCACAGCGATTTTCTTCGATGTGCACGATGTCAGTGATTTGGCATCTTCTAGCCACCACCCGAGTATCCCTACGTGTGCGCCAACTGTCTAGTGCATCTTCTCGCAGGGACAAGTCGTACTCAATGCTGCAAGTTGTTCAGTTCTGACCACCAAGTCAACCAAGAAGCAAGGGTGGAATCAAGGGCTGGTTTCCGAGTACAAAAGGATGTCGGAGCAGCGGGTCTGTTAAACGTCAGTGCCGTCTGTATGGGCGGGGGGACGCTGGTGGCTCGTGGTTGTCTAACTTGCATGAATTGGTTCAGGAGGCCAAGCGTCCGTGGCTGGTCGATGTTGTCAAAACTCCGCAACACCTGGTCTGCAACAGAGACAGCCCCAAACTTCAGGCTTCATGTGTGCATACCGTGCGACAGGGCCGCGAGATCCAGACGAACTGGGCCTGGCCATTGGGGACGCACGCGGACGCTCACTGGAGCGCCCCGGCGCCAACGACGCCGCCCAATGCCAAGCCCGACCCCGAGGCGCCTTGGCGCTTTAGATCAAGATTAGGTTGAAAATCATTTGGACCCTTGAAGGACAAAGCAATAGACCGCGGGATAGGAACGGAGCTGGTGGAAAATGGAGTGCTTTTGTCGTAATGTCGGCATACGTCGACTCTCGCTCTTGGCTCATGCAAGCGTGAGACATCATCGGCTGGGTTGCAGAAAATCTCCAGCTCAGCCTACAGCTTGCTTCGTGCAAAGGCCAAAGCCCGGAGAGGCCGGATCGGTTAGAGGCCAATCGTACGGAGTTCAGTCGCCCTCCTCCATCCATTTCCATCGAAACGGGACAACACGATCATCACCAAGATCGTCTACAGTCCATGTTGCTTTGGAGCCCAGGAGCGAAACGATGGAAGCCAGGAGATTGGATTCATGACCCCACCACAGCATGGCGAGCCAACAACCCCGAGCAGCAGCGAAGCTTGGCTGCAGTTTGACAACAGGGTGCTTCAAGGCTTGCTTTTCGGACGGCACTGTGAGCTCTTCGTACATCATGGTTGGACGAGTGGATTCTAAAGTGTCGCCAGGCTATGCTGCTCGATGTTGTGCCGTCCTGCAGCTTAAGAGGTCCTGTAGGGAATCTCCTGTAAACTATCTGCATTCCAGGAGAGGCGACTGCAGGCTGGCGCGAAGGAGTGGCCTTCGCCGCCAGCACCGGCGAAGCCCGTCAGGCGTCGTGGTGGCTTCATGAATTGATCTTGCTGCCCTGACTGCTTCTGTTTGCCTCCTTCACACGGCAGGAAGAATTATTGCATTTCTAGGGACTCGAGGACGATCTTAGCTTGCTGCTGATGTATTCGAGGTGCCCTGAGATTTGTTTCGGGAACTGTGAGCTGCTTGAGCAGTCCTTTTATTTTGTCGTGTCTGTGTCACGGACTTCTCCAAGAGAGGTTTTCCAACTATTCCATTCCAACATTTAGCCTTCAGCCTTGGCCATTCATAGCCTGACCGTCGCCAAGGGAAGCTGACTTCGTACTACGTATGAGATGGTGTGTGCAGATCCTGAAATATCTGGGGCGAGAGAACTGTTGCAAAGCACCGGTGAGGCATGGAAGCAACAAAACAACAGGTTGACATGCAAGGAATTCAGAATGGGTTCTTGAGCAAGCTGCATTTGGAAGTTTTGGGCTCACACACGCTTCATGTGTGCCAGGTTATTCAAGGCTTGGGCTGTGCAGGGGTTTCTGCCGAGGCCGGCAGGCTTAAGGGCGTTCGCGGGAATTCGGGATTCGGCATCTGCGAAGACATCAGCTGCGTCATCGCTGTCTGCTTTCTGAGTCGTAGGGTTGGGCAGTTCAGGTTTGTTTCCAGCAAGCCCATCCCCGCCGTCGTCGATGCGAAGATGCTCATGAATCCGCCCAAACCCAGTGCAAGGCAATCCTGGGCAGGGGATGTAAGAGGAGAAAGCTGAACCGTTGCTTGATAGTTGCCGCCGGCTCGTGCATCCGAAGGGCAAAACTCGGTGAGTGCTGAGGCCCAACCTCCTTCGAGTGCCTGCGACTTGCTTCTATCTGGCACCAGTGCGTTCGTTTGGGATATACCGGAAGCATGGCAAGGCAGCGTGGCCTCTCGTGAGTCTTGCGCATCCGTTTCAGGAGACACCCCGGGTGGGTACCGTGCCGCAGACGCCGCAGCCGCCGCAGACAGGTCTTGTGCCGCAGACACCGCGACCGGACCCTTTTCCGGAGCGGTCCCTAGCTTCGGCGCAGATGAAAGCAGGACCGGAAGGCTCGGAGCGTCGCAGATCCCAAACATGTTCAGGCCAAGTGAGCTGCGCCGCACGAGCGGTCACAGAGCGGTCGCAACGTAAAGTGAAGCTCGTGTTTTTCATTACTCTCCGCCAGGTCGAAAGCTTGCACTCCAGACGCAACGTCCTGCGGAGCCTGCCGGTGAACCCCCCAAGCGGCACAAGGCCTGCCCGTAATTAAGTTGAATTGCACACCTGCCCGCGAGAGTCTTCTTGGATAGTGCCTCGACAGCTCTTGATTTATTGATGCCTGCAGGGGATCAACCCTCCACCACTGCCTGCAAACAGGCCAAGGTGGGCTGGAAGGTTGCAGAGCTCAATAAGTGGGCCGTATTTTGTGAAGTGTTGCGATGTCTGTATGAGAGTAAGAACTGGGGTAGAAGCTGTATACCCACAAACAGGTCGCCCTGTCTGGATGCTGCTTCGTGGCATCAGGTTTTCAAACGAAGGCTCCACCTCTAGCGCCATGTCCATTTCACAAAGATTTTCGCCACACAGCCTCTTAGATTCATGCAGATCTGCGCTGATGTGTTGCAATGCTTATCAACATCGGCAGGATGGTACCGACCCCGCCACCAATACCCGTGGTACAGCCAGCCGCTTCTGTGCCAAAGCCCAAGTCGTCAATATGCTTTCATCCTTGGCGAGCAGTCAGCAAGCTTTCGATGAAGGGCCCCCCAGTCTTTATGTGCCACTCTCCGTTCAGTGTTCAGGGTGCCAAAGCGAAGCGCAGCTTACGGACTGCACGAGCCCCCGCAAGGGCCCGTCTCCAGTGATGCTTGGCTGGAGTGGCTAGAGCTTTTGTTACGCCCTCTGTTTCTCAATCTTCGCAGAGCTCTTGCTTCGTGGATTTGGGCTTGTAGCCTGCTGCTCACGAGGTGTCCGACTAGATGGCTTTGTGTTCAACTGACTGCCCAAGATGTGCAGAGTGAAGCCGAAGCTCTGAGCTGGACAGTCCCCAACCGAGGTGGAGCCACGCCTAACCCCGAGGCTCAGCAGCAACTATTGCAAGGCTATTGTCAGCCAAGTGGCGACATGCCACCGTTAGTTCAGCGAAGAGCTTCGGTCCCGCACGGTTGTATGCATCTCCACTGCTGGTGCATAGCCTTGCGGCTCTAAGCACGCTCGGCCATTTCGGTTCCGCTAAGCCCATGGACGGTCGACAGCGGCGACCAAAGGGCCGCCGGGTGGTAGCTGCTGCCCTGGCAGGCGGCAATTGACCTGCGCTTTTGAAAGTCTCGAATATTTCTCCGCGCTTTCACTGCCGCTTGGCAGGTGCTGCGCACTGTGGAGTCTCGCTCTCGTTTGCGAATCCTGGCCCTCAGCTGCTTGCATTGATGCTAAGCCGGCTACCGCAAGAGCCGTAGCTGAACTCCTGCCACACAGCCTCGAGAGCCCTCAATTTCGTGGTTCATTCGTTTGTTGCTGCCGCGTTGACAGCAGGATCGAAGAGCAAGCCAACAAGCTTTGCAAGCCTTTGCCCGGAATTGCCAGCTGCAAGAGCCTAAACGAAGCTACTTGTATGTGCTCATTCATGAAGCATTTTGTAAGCGTGATTCGTGCATCTGTCTCATGTTTGCCTCAGGTCACGTTTGTCTCTTTTGTCCAGGGCAGGCGCTCTCGAAAGAGGGGCACAGCCACGGGTGACTAGGGCTGTTGGCGAAGTCGAGGCCGGCCAATTGCAATCTGTTGAGTTGATCACTTTGTATTTTCAGAGGATGGCAGCTCGGGTAAAGGCATCAGGAAAAGTCGCTCTCGGACATCAGGCTTGCAATTGTATGGCCTGTCAAGAATGCCGGTTGCTGCGCCGGAAGGTTGCCTCGTATGCCGCTCCTGCCGCCGGTGTGGTTGCGCATCTCGGCAGTTGCCCTGCCAGGGTAAGTGTGGGAATTTGCTCTGTCCATTCAGTTCCTGTTCTAATTCAAGACCGTCTCGTCGGACGGTACCAGGCCGACAAGGCTTCACCAAAGCTGCCGTTTGTAGTGGACCATCACTGGCAGTTCATATCATGTTAAAGAGTGTGAGAGTCTGTGAGAGCCAGTTCACGCAGCAATAACCATACCAGCAACACAAGGTTCTGCTACAGTACTGAGAATTACCATGAAAAGAATATATTGGCGATGCTTTTGATATTGGCATGACTCGTGATTATCGCACAGTCTTCTTCATGGTAATCATAATGCTAAGCGAAGTGGGTTTCCTTCTGCCCCTTGTTGAGATTCTCAAAGGTACATGTAGCAAGCTCGGGACCTTCNNCTTCGTGCGAGTGTGTGAGTCGAAAGGTGGTTAATCTGCTTGCGGTCCAAGTTCACCGCCCTTTCAAGAAAGATGATGTGTTGACTTCGTCCCCGAGCTTTGTGCTAGTCATCAGCATGCAAACGAGAAGTTTGAACTCGAGTGCCTCTTCAACCGAGCTATGTCAAGAAGCGCTGCCACAAACGATGCAGCAGGTTGCATGCAAGCCCGCAGCAAAGACTAGCACGGGTCAGGAGGGTTCAGTGGTTGGATTGGCACAAAGCCCTCCCTCGCGTCCCCCCTCCCAATCCCTTTCTCCTCCCTCCCTCCCTCCCTCCCT